GGTGAGGGCTGGGTGCAGAAGGGGCTGGTTGAGGGCTGGGTGCAGAAGGGGCTGGGTGAGGGCTGGGTGCAGAGGGGGCTGGGTGAGGGCTGGGTGCAGAAGGGGCTGGGTGAGGGCTGGGTGCAGAAGGGGCTGGGTGAGGGCTGGGTGCAGAGGGGTCTGAGTGAGGGGCGAGTGTAGAGGGGGCTGGGTGAGGGCTGGGTGCAGAGGGGGCTGGGTGAGGGCTGGGTGCAGAGGGGGCTGGGTGCAGAAGGGGCTGGGTGCAGGGCTGGGTGCAGAGGGGGCTGGGTACAGGGCTGGGTGAGGGCTGGGTGCAGAGAGGGCTGGGTACAGGGCTGGGTGCAGTACCTGAGTAAGTGAGAAGCCAGGTCCTCCAAGTGGAGCAGGCTCTTGGTCCCATTGGCTCTCTCGGCTGTTTGAGGACATTTGCCATATTATTTATTTATTATTTATTTATATATATATTTGCCATATTATTTATTTATATATATATTAATTGATTTCGGAGGGAAAGGGGGAGGGAGAGAAATATCAATGATGAGAGAGAATCATTGATCAGCTGCCTCCTGCATGCCCCCTACTGGGGATCGAGCCTGCAACCTCGGGCATGTGCCCTAGCCAGAATTGAACCCGGGACTCTTCAGACTGAAGGCCTACGCTTTATTCCCTGAGCCAAACCAGCTAGGGCTGCCACCTTATTTCTAAGTAAGGCGTGTATACTCCTAGTTCTTAAAGACACACACACACACACCCCTTATTTTTATTACCTGTTGACTTTCTATTATGGAAGATAAACATTTCATGCTTTTACTCTCCTCCCATATAAAAAGCAGCAACACTCACCTCTCAGAAATTAAACAATCCTATTACCAGTTATGCCATATTAAGCACCCTTACACCATCCTGGGCTGGTGAGGAATGGGTGTGTAATTAGTAAGTAGTATTTATGTTCATTTCTAACAAAGGTACCACCGCAGCTCAATGAGGAAAGGATGGTCACTTCAGTAAACAATGCAGTTACATATGCATTGGCAACGTATGAAGACGTTTTGGTTGTCAAAACTGGGGAGGTGCTCCTGACAGGGAGCAAAATTGTCCCTAACTGAGAACCGTAGCATATGCAAATGTAAAAAGTCATGCAGCTGAGCTTAAGATCGGGGCACTTTTTGTACATCATTCCTCCTCAGGTGACAAGTTCAGCGCGCGCGTGCACACATGCATGCACACACTTGCTGAAAGCAGCCCCCTGTACTTTCTAGAACTTCCCTGGGAACCTGGGAAGCAGCACAAAGGAGTGAGCTCTGGTGCTTCTCACATCCCAAGGACAACACAGCGCTGGCTCCCAGGCTGTGCTCCGAGGCTGCTTCCCAGCCGCTGCTGAGGAGTCCTGACTTGTTTTCTCTGTAGGTGATGGCGCACCGGGTGACTCAACAAGTTCTTCCTAGAAAAGCTTTCTACCCCTGACATCCCAAATGAGTGCTCATCACCAGACTATGGAGGGACAAACTGGGTATCCAAATAATGGAATGGGCTGCTGAAACACAGGGAACACAAAGATGGCACGGACAGAATGTTGAACAAAAGAAGACTGAGGGAGTGTGAGGATCTTCATGGAGAAGCAGATTAGGACTTGCAGACATTTATCTATTGTGAAAGTGGTTTTGGGGTGCAGATGAAGACAGCTTGAGGGCAGACGCCATTCAGAGTGCTAGAATGTTCTAGATCTTGACGTAGGCGATGATTACGTATTACAACATTATCTGGCTCTGCACCACATGTGTACTTCATGAAAATTATATTTTGTTAAAAAGATAAAAAAAAGAATGAATTTAGTGAGGTCTCTGGATAGAAAATCATTTACATAACTCCATTGTATTTTATATATCAGCCCCAACCAAATTGAAAATGGAATGTAAAATGCTATAAATAATCATGTCAAAAATATCAAGACCCAGGAATAAATATAATCAAAGAAGTACAAGACATACAGAGAAAATTAGAGACTGGATGCAGAGAGATGCTGCGTTTGGGACTTGAAAGATTGGGAAGATGTCAGTGCCCTGAAAACACTCTGTAGACTCACTGGATTCCAGCCCACATCTAGGACAATGGCTTTCAACCTTAAAGCCGTGTTCTGATCACTCATTCACACACACACACTCCCGAGAACAAAGGTTTTATGAAACAACACTTACCCTGACTACTGCAGGTTGGCTTCCATATTTTCTATTGTATCTCCATCACGTTTTTAATAGAAATAAATTGATCTGTGCAACTACACTGATTTCATTACCCCTTATGCGACAAAATCGGGCGTTTTAAGCTCCTATGGAAGCAGTGAGTGTCCTGGAGACCCAATCCCCCATCACACAGGTCTCCCTAAGACCGTCTTGTCGCTGGCAGGTGAGCTTCTTTTTCAGGAAGTCCCTTCTCAGTCGCTTTTCAGATGGGGACCTCAGAGTCTCTCCAGGCCTCCCCCTGGCTCAGGAAGCCCCAAGGAAATAGCCAGGCAGCCTGCCTGGCAAAGCCAGTGCAGGGTCCCCGTTCCCAGTAGCCACCACCAGCCCCTAGCCCCCCCCCCCCTTCCTCTCCTACCCCTTTCCACCCCACCCGCCCCACCCACAGGCTAGGCACGCTGCAGCAAGCAGTCGTGGTTCTTTTATAGATAAACAGATGAAGTCACCATAAAAGGAAGTTAAGGAACCACTGCTCTTATAGCAAGCCACAAATGGAAAATGACATCCGGCAAAAAAACCCCAAAAAGCAAACCCGTTTGGAGGCAATGATAAGATATGTACACCTTACTAAAAAAAAAAGAAGGAAAAAAAAAAAACTGTTTGAGAAATACCATGTGAGTAGAAACCAAGTCATTCAAAACCCACCATTGGCCATGTAATTTTTTAAAATGCAAATCTGCGCACATACACCAGTTACCTGATGTACAGTAAGAGAATGGGGAAAGGGAAAGCAGAAAGAGAGAGAAAACCGGAGGCCTGGGTGTGGTGGAGCCACGTTCCGTGTGGAGTAGACACTCCTGTGTGCCTTTCATTGATTGGCTGCCTGTCAAGGAGCGATCTTTTCCACCTCATTGATAAACCCTGCCGTCCACCATAGGCTTCCGCTAGGTGACAAGAGGTGTATGCCTCTCACTCTTCAAGCGCACCACAGACCAGCCTGCCCGCCACCCCTCAGACCAGGTCGATCCTGCTCCCTCTGGCTCCTTCCTGGGGCTCTCCCTGGGCGTGGTGAACACCGGTCTCCTCAGCTGCCACCTCACAAAAGAGGTGCCCGGCCCACCGAGCACCCACCGACCACAAACAGCCCCCCTCCTCCCGCCCCTTAAAACAATAGGCAGATTACTTACTGTCTAGTGCATTTTCAAGTTGACAACTAAAACGTTGTAAGTTCTAGTAGTTGCAAAGGATATAATCTGTGATGGGAACATTGACATATTCCAGCAGAGTGGCGCGTCCTTCCTTTTGACACATCTAATGCCGTCCGCCTGCTCTGGTGACTCGGTGCCAGTCAGTGTGCCCCGTTTCAGAAAGAAAAAAAAGGATCTAAGGCCGTCTTGTCACTGGTAGGCGAGCTTCTTTTCCAGGGAACTCTTATTCTCAGAAAATGTACAGTCTTCCTCTTTGTCTTTTACTGTCAGAAATTTTACATTCTCCCTCTTTGTCCTTGACCTTAGCTTGGAGCTCCTTCTGGACAGAATTCTGCCTCACGAATTAGGTATCGCCAACCAAAATATATACAGAAACTAAATGTTTAGTTTTATTTAGTTTCCTGTGACTATAAGATTCCAAATGTTAAAATATTTTCTTCTGGATTGTTACTTTTAAAATTATTGCTAATGCACAAATAATATAAAATATTCCTAGTTTCATATATTTTCATGAATAAGTATTAAACATTATAAGTAAAGTAAAACAAACAAAACAAACAAACGAAAGACCAAAATAAAAAAATAAACTAAGACCAAAAAATAAAAAAGTAAAATATGTTGTCCCTGGTCAGTGTGGTCCAATGGTTGGAACTTTGGCCTTGGGGGAGTGTGGGAGGCAGTTATTAGCAACCAGTCTGTTTCTTTCTCTTTCTCTTCCCCTCCTGCCCTCCCTTCCATTCTCTCTGAAAAGCAGTGGAAGACATATCCTCGGGTGAGGATTAACAACAAAAAAGTAAAATATGTTGGAAATGAATCTCCAAATAAGCTAGACAGGGCACCCCGCCTTAATTCCACGTGCTCTTGGGTGGAATTCATTATGACAGGAGTGAGTCAGGGTTCAGCTTCAGTCCTGCCTTGGCTTTTAAGACTCAAAAGTGCTTAGATTTTCCTTCACAAAAGCAGCTAGGCAAGGCAGCTTCTGTGCCAGCAGCCCCCGGCGGCTCTTAAGCTACTTCCAAGGCGTGTTTCTGAGCCCACCATGGAGGGCGCCCACTGTCCGCTCCCTCCGCGGGCTGGGGGGCTATTTAGGAGCCACCGGCCCTGTTACCCCCTTTTCACGGGTTCACGGGCACTTAACCTCATCTCCCATTTCAGCTGCCCTTTCTTTGGATCCAGGAGGTCACCCTCTGCCTCAGCCCTGACGCTGCATTTTGGGGAGATTCAAAAAGAAAGGGGGTCGCCCTTTCTCCTGGGAAGTGGACGGGGTGACAGCGCGGGGGGGGGGGGGGGTGTGGGGGGGGGGACAGAGGGAGCTAAGCGCCTGGCCATTGAGCCGTGACAGCTTCTCGGGGACTTGGCCTCTGGGGGCTCCTTGTGAGGGCCTCCCCTCCCGAGCAGGGCTTCTCTTTCCTGACTGCTGGCCAGATTTAAAAAGATGCCCGCGGGGTTACCCCGGGCGACGGCGTTCTCAGGGCGAGGCCGGTTCGGGCTTGCCTATAGCGCCCCCTGGCGGTCCTGCCTGCTGCGTCGCTATCGCTCCCACCTGGACGCCGGCGTGCTGGGGCGGGGCTGCAGGGGCTCGCAGAGCACGGCTGACCCCTCTCTCCCCCCGCAGTGTACCACTGGGTGGAGATGCGGACCAAGATGCGCATCATGGGATTCCGGGGCACAACCATCAAGCCGCTGAACGAGGAGGCGGCCGCCGAGCTGGGCGCCGAACTTCTGGGCGAGGCCACCATCTTCATCGTGGGCGGCGCCTGCGTGGTGCTGGAGTACTCGCGCCACCAGGCGCAGCAGCGCCGCAAGGAGGAGGAGCAGCGCGCCGCCTGGACCGAGATGCAGGACGAGGTGGGCCGCCTGGCGCTGGCGCTCGAGGCGCTGCAGGCGCAGGTGCAGGCGCAGGAGGCGCCCAGGGCCCTGGAGGAGCTGCGGGCGCAGATGCAAGAGGTGCGCGCCCAGCTCCTCGCCCGGGACGTGTAGACGCGGTCCAAGCCCACGCCCAAGGCGGCGGCCACGTCCGAGAAATAGGAGGCTGCCGAAGCCTGGACTTGGATGTGGCCACGTGTGCCCTAATGTGCTGGCCCAGCGGAAGCCGCCGAAATGCTGATGAACTTGGCCGCTGGTCACCCCCTGCTCGCCACCAGTGGTAGGACCTTGCACTGGGACTGGGAAGCGTTCCAACATAGCCCCCCTCCTTAGCTCATTGGTACAGCCCACAGTGCTCCTCTCCACCTCATCCCAAACCTCACCGACCTCTGAAGTCCCCCAGCCAGCAGGACCACGAGCTCACTCTTCTGGCAGAAGGAAAACGTGGAACCGGACCTCAGCCGAATCAGCCTGTCCAACTCTCCATTTACCTGATCAGTGTTACCTTCCCTGGGACACTCGTCCATTACACCGAACACCCCCTTCTTTTGATCATTTGGTACAGACCATTGTAAGGAATGCAGTGTCTTTCCCTGGACTTCTGTCCCCTTTAAGGGGGGGGGGGGGGGGAGGAAGGATCCTGGTTGCAATGGATCCACCGAATATCTTTCCTCAACCTGATCTGTGAGGCCTTCTCTTGAGTCCCCACGTGGAATATCCCAACAGAGCCCTCCCACCCCCCGGTCTGTGGCACCACCCACTGGAGGGGCTGTGCTGGTCTCAGGCAATGCCCTCCCAACCCCCTGCCTGGTGGACAGCTGATTTCAGCCTCAGCTTCCTGTGAACTGTCCCCAGAGTCCCAGGGCTTTCCTGACTGTCCTTTCCTACCTTCCCCGCAGCTTCTTCAGGGGCCTCTCAGGCACCTGCCGGCCATGGTTAGATGATCACATCCCCCGAGTTTCCTTTAAATCTGCTCATCTGTGGGCTGCCCCCCTCCCCTGGGGCTCCAGCCTGGTCCAGCAGTCCCTCTTCATGCACTGGTACCTCCTGCCTCCATGGCCCCAAGTGCCCCTCCATCTCCCCGGTGTGGGCCCCTAGTTCATCTTACGTTAGTAGTTTCCTAGGGCTGCCGTGCCTACAACAACCAGAACCTATTCTCTCCCAGGCCTGGAGGCCGCAGGTCCAAGGTCAGCTGTCAGCACTGCCTCCGGAGGCTCTAGTGCGGATCCTTTCTGTCTCCTCCAGCTTCTGGTGCCTCCAGGTGCTCCTTGGCTTGTGGCTGCTTTCTCCCCAGTCTCTGCCTCCATCCTCACGTGGCCTTCTCCTCTTCTGTCTCCTACAAAGACCCTGGTCATTGGACTTAGGGCCACCCTAACTCTAGGAAAGACCCTTTCTCCAAATAAGCTCTCACTCACAAGTTCCATCTCCATCTGTAAGGAGGTAGACATACTTTTGGACGAGGGGGTGCCGTTCACCTCACTACCCCTCCCCACGCCAGGAGTGTTCTGGGACTGCCAACCCCATGGGCCACTGGGCCTCCCCACATGAGAGGAACCATCCAAGGAGAGCTATGTTTCAGATTGTAGGTGTTCCCAATTAAAGGAGCCCTGAAATGTAGTCGTCCTAAGGACTGTCTGAGAACCATTATATGGATCTCCAGAGGGGGTACAAAGCTCATTAAAATTAAGAGAGAAGCTGAGAGATCTGATGGTGGTGAATCTAAAGTCATTCTATGAACTGTCCCAGTTGGGGAAACTGAGGCTCAGGGGAAGCCAAGGGACTTGGCCAAGACTAGGAAGCCCATGAGGGATGGGAGTCAGGGCACTGGGAGGAAAACAGGAGCCCAGATTACCCTCTTCATGCAGGTGCAGATGTTTAGGGCACAAGTGCGGGCGAGAAGGGCAATGAGAGGGAGGCGGGTCACTGGGGGAGAGGGAGGCAGTCACTGGGGAGGGGGGAGAGGGAGGCGGATCACTGGGGAGGGGGGAGAGGGAGGCGGATCACTGGGGAGAGGGGAGAGGGAGGCGGATCACTGGGGAGGGGGGAGAGGGAGGCAGGTCACTGGGGGAGGGGGGAGAGGGAGGCGGGTCACTGGGGAAGGGGGGAGAGGAAGGAAGGTTCCTGGGGGAGGGGGGAGAGGGAGGCGGATCCCTGGGGAGGGGGGAGAGAGAGGCGGATCCCTGGGGAGGGGGGAGAGGGAGGCGGATCACTGGGGAGGGGGGAGAGGGAGGCGGATCCCTGGGGAGGGGGGAGAGAGAGGCGGATCCCTGGGGAGGGGGGAGAGGGAGGGGGGAGAGGGAGGCGGATCCCTGGGGAGGGGGGAGAGGGAGGCGGATCCCTGGGGAGGGGGGAGAGGGAGGCGGGTCACTGGGGGAGGGGGGAGAGGGAGGCGGGTCACTGGGGAAGGGGGGAGAGGGAGGCGGATAACTGGGGAGGGGGGAGAGGAAGGAAGGTTCCTGGGGGAGGGGGGAGAGGGAGGTGGGTCACTGGGGAGGGGGGAGAGGGAGGCGGGTCACTGGGGGAGGGGGGAGAGGGAGGGAGATCACTGGAGGAGGGGTGGGAATCTCTGCCCAGGCCCCAGAGTAGTGCTGGAAGTGGGTGGCCCTCCATCCCCAACCCAGCAACCCTGGATCTTGGCATTCAGTGAATGGAATCAGTCAGACACCTGGGCCCTCTTCCAAGCAACTGGAGAGGGAAGTTTTCTGTCACTGCCCCAGGCGGTTAAAAACGCCCTGGACACCACACCTGGTAGAAGCCCAGTACACTGGGCTTGTGAAGCATCAGTTTACAGAAGAAGGGGAGAGGCTGGTGTAGAGGGAGCGGAGATGGGTCATGGGGCCAGGGGTTTCTAAAGTAGGAGTGACCCGAGCAGGTTCAATGACGAGGGAAAGAAGGCAAGAGATACCAGTGCATGGAAGGGTGGGGGGCCGAGGAGCCAGGTTTCCATGGTTACCCCCAGCGGGTTCACTCTGGCCCTGTCACAACTCTGGAGGACGGGTGGCTGGACACCAGGGATCTTGACTGCAAACCCCTCCCCCATCATGTTACTAAACAGCAGTCAGGTGGAAGCCAGGAGCTCTGGGTGGGAGTCAGGCACTGTTCTAAGTGCTGCAAGTGACATTTTCTTTATTCGTGAAGAAGCTGAGGCACAGAGAGGGAGTCACTGCCCAAGGTCACAGGCAGGGAAGAGGAGGACGTGGGGCCTAAGCCCCTGACCCTGCGCCACCTGACCCTGAGGTAGCGCTGTGCTCACGGGTGAGACTGAAAACAGCCCCTGCCCTGGCCAGTTTGGCTCAGTGGATAGTGCGTCAGCCTGTGGACTGAAAGGTCCCGGGTTCGATTCCAGTCAAGAGCACATGCCTGGATTGCGGGCTTGATCCCCAATAGGGGTGTGCAGGAGGCAGCCAATCAGTGATTCTCTCTCTTCATGGATGTTTCTCTCCCTGACCCTCTCTGAAATCAATAAAAATACGTTAAAAGAGAAAAGAAAACGGCCCCTATGTGTCTCGATGTGGCCAGACCTGTGGAATGCAGCAGCTTCACCCACCGGGTGGGGTGGGATCAGGGTGGGTGCGGGTGCGAAGAGCGCCCTCTTGAGGCTGGAGGATGGACGGTTCACCGCTCCGAATCACTAGCAAAAATTTTGTTTGCATTTGCGACTTGGGGGGAGAGGGGTTAGAATAAATTTGTAATTGAAGTCGATTGTGTTGAAATTGCTGCTTTTTTTTTTTTTTTTCGTATTTGAAAAATCCCTGTCAACCTTAGCAAAACTGTCTTTCGTTTATTCTTTCATTTAGGAAACTGTCACCCAGGTGCCCACTATGCGCCCTGCCTGTTCTGTGCCATGCGGGTCCCGGCGGTGACTGAGACAGCCTCCCCCTCCCTCACGGGACGCACCGTCCAGTGGGGAGACAGACACACACGCAGACCGTTCCCCCCGTGTTACCTGCCCAGCCTCTGGTTACTTGGGAATCAGGCTGAATCCAGATTCCTCCCCCCCCCCCCAGGTACTCGGTGCTTTCGGGAGGAAAGAACAGAAGCCCACGCACACTGGCTCACAAAAGCCCCAAAATGTGTCTGAGCCCCTGTCTCTCCCAGCTCCCGGCAGGCCCTGTTGTCCCACGTTGGTCTCCTCGTCCAGCAGAGAGGGCCACCCCAGGAGCACAGGGACCCAGAAAGCCCCTGCCTGGTCTGTTGGCCCGTACAGCCATCCCTGTGGGAGCCACTGTAACGCCGAGTGGCTAGGGTCCCCCAGCCCCAAGGACGAGGGAGAGGTCACGTTCAATGTCTACGGAGCACCTACCGCGCCCCGTCCTAGCGGCGGAGAATTAATGGGGAACAAGACCAAGTCCCCGCCATTGACACGTGGAATGGCGAGCTCGGACCCTCGTTGCATGGCTCTCGTCTCACGAAGCTTGAAGGATAAATTCTCGGACTAAAAGATTTTAAGCAAAAACGTGGAAGTTTATTGCGAGCGCATACAGACTCCCCCTGGGGAGGAGGTCTGCCGGGCCAGCCTGGCAGGTGAGCCGGGCTGAGGTGGGGAATTGAGAAAAGACAGACAGACAGAAGGGTGGGAGAACTTACAAGTCATCGAGGAACTATAGCCAGTTTATCCACTGCGCACTGCTTTTTATACCCAAGGCACTAATTATTTTATTTTTTTAAAATATATTTTATTGATTTTGTACAGAGAGGAAGGGAGAGAGATAGAGAGCTAGAAACATCGATGAGAGAGAGTCATCGATCAGCTGCCTCTTGCACACCCCCTACTGGGGATGTGCCCGCAACCAAGGTACATGCCCTTGACCGGAATCGAACCCGGGTCCCTTCAGTCCCCAAGCCGATGCTCTATCCATTGAGCCAAACCGGTTTTGGCCACAAGGCACTAATTAGGTCTGCCAAGGGGAGTGTACTTCTTGTTCCTCTTACTCTCTAACGGAGAGATAGAGCCGGAGGACAAATTCTTTTTTTTTTTTTTTTATTTTCTTTTAAAAAATATGTTTATTGATTTCAGAGAGGAAGGGAGAGGGAAAGCTAGAAACATCATTGATGAAAGAGAATCATTGATCAACTGTCTCCTGAACACCTCCCACTGGGGATTGAGCCTGCAA